CTTGACCGTGCTCGTTTAATTCCTACCTTGTTTTCTATGATAGAATGGAACCATACTCTATCATTTACGTCTGGCTGTTCTGTCCTGGAATCCGCACATGATCCCTGAATTTGACCACGTGTTGTTCTGCCACTTACTCAAAAGTTCTCTTATACCATTAATGATAGCAATTTTCTTTAGAACCACGTGTATGTGCAAAGATTAATACTGAGATAAAACCTTTTCAAATCTTTAAGAAATTGTCTGTATTTAGACAATCAATCACTTGGTTATTCGCGAGTCCACATAATGAAGTGCATTTTTGACGGCAAAACATTTCTTGGCTTGAAAAATTGAAACTTGTTCATTCTTGTTTCTGACGGAACTTCTTGGTCAGTCAGATATCTTGTTAAGGTTAGGTTTCGCAACCAATCCAGGCATTTTCGAACTACTTTTAGAGTAAGCTTAGTTTTTTGACGTCACAATTGTAAACAAACCGCCAACATGGCCGACAGAAATTTATGATTTCGAAGATATTCGCTTATTATAATATATATTTTGTTGCCAATAGATGATCTTATAAAACGATCAAAATATAGTCATTTCTGTGCTAACCAGAAGCATTAGCTGAAGTATATTAATAACATTACTATTCTCTAGGTGTATATTGATGGCATTATTATTCACTAGACGATAAATACGAGCTACTTATAACTATTACGGTCATCCTGGGATGTTCGAAGAGCATTTTTATTTGCCTTTAATTGTTATTTTCATTCTAAACGCAGTTTAAAGACTATTCTATTATTTATAGATACTGTCTTTTTAAACTGTTTCCCTTAAATATATGGACTTTTTCTAGATATCCATAACCTTGTGTGCTATATAATAGGTAAGGGATTTTTTTGAAACTCAGATTTCCTTATCTTCTCACTTTCCTCGTCGCTAAATTCTCTCACAGCATCCAGTCTGTTTTCTTCAGATAAATTCGGCAAGACGACGGAACTAACCATGACTGAAATATGCCTGCTGTATATTATTGAATGAAAATTTCAGACATGCAAGTCCATCTTAACATAGCTCTAATGCATGTGGATACATCTATCTTGATTTACACTGACGTGTGCACATATTTATTTATTTTCTTAGATATGTTCCGAATTTTGAGAAATCCAGTCTTTTATGATATGAATAAAAACAGATTTTAATGCTCAATCATTTATTTAAATATTCAAATACAATATATAAAAATACTCTACACAGATGTATAAGGTAATTATATTTACAGGCCTAGATTGGATCATTCCTAATATTCCTCAAGTAAATGGAAACTTTTGTTCTGAGTATTGCAAAAATGTAATTCATTGCTGTTTCATAACATCAAGCTTGTGCTTATGATCAACAGCCTCGTGTTCCTACAACAAAGGTCAGTTTCGTTAATGCACCGACCTTTTCGTTCCAAAGTACACTCGTTGCAAACATTAGTAGTCATTTATGCACGAGTTGTAGCAGCACTTTCTAACAAGCCACCAAAACAGGACATGTTGAAAAATCATGACAAATGCCTTACTATAGTCAAGATACTTTTATGCCAATTGCTACATCCTGCTGATTCGATGACTACCGATATTTGTAACATAACTACATTTCCAAATGCGGAAATATTTTTATAAGTACATGTATGAGGGCTTACTCTCTCTCTCTCTCTCTCACGCACACACACACACACACACACACACACACACACACACACACACACACACACACACACACACACGCACACACACGCACCACGCACGCACGCACGCACACACACACACACACACACACACACACACACACACACACACCACGCACACGCACACGCACACGCACGCACGCACGCACACACACACACACACACACACACACACACACACACACACACACACACACACACACACACACACACACACACCACACACACACACACAGGGATCACTCAATGCTGCGAGAATAACACACACAAACGCACGGGGCCACATCAGAATGACTGACTTCGAGCCAGTGAGACTAAAGTGAAGCCCAAAATAGGTTTATTAAAAAATAAACTACACTGTAGATGCTATTCATGATGTATATAATCTTGATGTATATTTCATATGAATAAGTACCCAAACTATAAAAGTATTCAGACAACAACTTAAGGAATAAACTTACTAGTGTATATATATATATATATCCAAAAATTCTCAACAATATATACAGATTTATTTACAGGTTACTATGTATATTTCTTACATACAGAGGCTCAGTGGACGTGTGTTTGTCCTCCATATTTTCTCCATAATGTAAAGAGGATAATGTCTTTACTCCACTGATGCCCAAGAACATAGCAACTGTATTCTTACTGAAGTTACATTAACAATGTAACCAACAGAGTTGAATCTTAAAGAGTAGGTAAACTCAGTTCATTTTACAATTCCTACATTATATATACCCAATTCTCAATACAAATGGTTTACTATACATTAATATTCTG